ACTCTTTCTATTGAATTTTGATGATAATATTGTTTATTTAAGGGCTTTTTCTCCTTTTTCTGACCATTGGTTTTCCATCCATTCTGTTCCTGTTGTTTTGCTGTATCTTTTCTTATTACTTCTGGGTTTTAGAGTTTGTTTTGAAGCTTTTCTGTGCTCCCTACATTGTTTCTGTTTCCTCTGGGTTCCTCTGTTTCTTTTCAAAATGATTCTCTCAGATGAGATGCTTTCTTCAAGTGTCTTGTTTTATCTTTGTCTGTCTTTTCATAGAAGAGTGACGCACTGAACAGCTCTGTAAGTTTGTCTGTAAGGGTGAGGCTTGTCTGCAGTGGGCTTCACTCTGAGGTTAGGGAGCAGGCTGCCTTCTTCATTGGAGGAAGACATCTTTGTGGGGTTTTGTTTTTGTTTTTTTGCAGCATTTAGTTTTTCAGTCTTCCATCTGGGGGCTGTAAACTTGGCCCCTGATGTTCTGACATCAGGATGTAGGAAGCTGTGTGAATCAGTCGTTCATCCCAGCCCTTGGACCCCTTGTGTTCAGTCCCATCCGTACCTTTGCTGTCTGCTGTGCTCAGTGTCCCTGAGCCCAGAGCCCCCTCCCGCCTGCACTTCCCTCTGCCGGCACTTAGGTTGTAGCTTCCTTCACGCTACTTAGGTTGTTACTGCTCCTCTAACTTCTTCCTGACTGTCAAAAATGTGTTGAAATCTTTTATCTGCTTTGCTGGCCTCACATGTTCTCTTTATCTTTGGGAGTTAATATCAACTTAATTTCTTTATTGTCCAGTTTAGTGGGAAGTCAGGATGGAGAAGAGAGGGAAGCAAGAAGTTGGTCTGCCATACTTAATTTGGTGTCTATTTTTAAATGAAATATTTTTAATCTAGTTTTTAGGGCAAAATGGTAAGAAGAGGATCTGATTAGTTACCCTCCAGAGAGAGAAATCACTCAAACTGAAATTTCGCAGTACTGTATTTGAGTAAAAGCTCAAACTCAGGTTTACCTTCCCCAATGAACAGAGCAAAGTATTGTTGCTATTACCAGAGTCAGCAGAGAGAGCAGATAAGCCCAAGGGTTTGACTCTGCTTGGGAAGCCAGATCACAAGCCAGATGCTGGGTATGTAACAGAAACCTAGTTGTGAAGCCACTTGGACTACTGCAGTCAATGCGTTGTACTGTGTTCACTGGATCAGTTCACCCTCCGTCAGGGGAAGTTAATGTCAGGTTTGTGGTACTCTTTGGCTCTGCACGACAGTAATTTAACCTTTTCCCTTGTGTTTTATAATGAAAAAAATGTTGTTAATTGGAAGTAAAGAATAAAATTTATTTATTCTGAACAAACCTTTTTATTTTGAGACAATTTCATACTTAAAGAAACATTAAGAACAGTACAGAGAACTCCCATCCAGTTGTCAGCATTTTCCCACACTTGTGTTACGTGTGCATCTTCTTTTTATCCACCCTCTTCCCACCCCTAGCCCCTGTCCCCCTTCCCACTGCCCAGTAATTTGCAGACCTAATGCACCTTCATCCATAAATATTTAGGTACCTCGACCCCCACCAAAAACAAAGACTTTATTTTCAGTAAGTACAGGATATTGGTCAAAATAAGAACATTTAATAATATTTAATAACTAGTACAATAGTATTATCTAATGCACATTTCATACTCAGAGTTCTCCAATTGTTTCAGTAATGTCCTTTATAGCTATTTCCCCTTTTTTTGTGCCCCCACCCACCTCCCACAGATCTAATCTAGGATCATGCTTTTCATTTAGTTGAGATCAATCTTTAGTCTCCTTTAATCTGAAACAGTTCTTTATCCTTTCTTTGTCTTTTACATCTTGGGTATTTTTGAAGAATACAGGCCAATTATTTCACAGAATGAACTTCAATTCGAGTTTTCCTGATGCTGCTTTATGATTAGACTCAGGTTATGCATTGTTTGGGTGGGAGTACTACAGAAGTAATGTGTCTGCTCAGGGCATCGTGTCAAGATGCATGTAATGTTGTTTGTCTCATTCCGGTGATGTTAACTTCTATTATCTTATTAAGGTAGTATTTGCAATGTTATTCCACTGTGAAATTACTCTTTTTCTCTGTATTATTAACAAGTAACTTACAGGAGATGCTTTGAAATTTTATGAATGTCTTGTTCCTCATCAGACTTGCACCCGGTAATTTGGCATCCATTGATGGTTCTTGACTGAATCAGTTATTACTAGGATGATTCCAAGATGTAGGTTTTCTAACTCATTTCTCAGTGTATTTAGGGAAGAGCTTTCCTTTCTCTCCCATTTGTTTATTTATTCATTTTATTAACATGGACTCGTAGATTTTTATTTTATTCTGTGATACTCTGTTACTTATTTTGAGGGTCAAATTGTTTTAGATTTGGCTAATGGGAGCCCCTTTAAGTCATAATTTTTAGATGCCCCCATTGTTCTTGGAGCCCTTTCTTCCTGGCACAGCAAGATGCCCCAGGTTTAGCAAGATGCTCCAGGCTCGGCCTTGGAATCAGTCATTTCTCCAAGTAGCCCTCATTCTTTCTAGTGGGGAGTAAGATTTATAAACTAAGATTTCTCAGCAAATAAAAGCTAAGAAACATAAATAAACACACATATCTGTATATCTTTGTGTGTGTGTGTGTGTGTGTGTGTGCGTTGAGCATGAGTTCATACTGTTGCCTGAACTCCAGTTCAGCACTGCAGGTCTAGTCTTGCTCTTTCTGTCCCCATCAGTGGGAATCTGGTTCCCATTATCCTCAACATTAGTATTTGTTTGCTTAGTTCCATAAACAGAGAAATTAGTTTCAAACTGCTAACCCATACATTATAACTAGAGATCAATGTTTGTTTATAGTTTTTTTTGTCTGTATACTGGCAGTATATAAAGTATTATGTTCAAAAGTTGTTTGGGTTAGTTTCCTTCCCTCTTTTAATACACTTATTTACTTGATGTACAGTTAGCTTCATTTGTTT